ATTTTTTGTCTTATTTCCTACTGCTTCCCTAATGCCTATGACAATGCTGGCACACAGTAGGCTCTCAGGACATACTTGTCAATTTGAATTGGAAGGTATGCTCATTACAAATATCTGGGGAGGGGGCTGGAGAGAGGAAACCAAAGCTACACTGCCAGGCAACCCAATACAACTAGTAAACGGAAATCCTGCATCTCCCAAGCTATTTGACTAAGACACCCACCTGTAAACAACCAGTGCTTTGGAACACGCTCAAAGCACGATTTCTCCACTTCAATGCTATTGACATTTTAAGCTGTAGAGAGTTGTCCCGTGCATTGTAGGATGTTAAGCAATCTCTCTGCCTCTACCTACCAGACGTCCAGTTGAGACAATTAGAAATATCACCAGATATTGCCAAATATCCCTGGGGTGGGTGGCAGAATCACCCCCAGTTGAGAACCAGTGACTTAGAGGAATAATTTATTTTATATATTGGTCCAGTCTCCAAATACCATTTCTCCTTTCTGAATTAGTCATCACTTTGGAACACTGATCAGAAATCCACTAATTATTAGAGATTCATAGGTCTAAAAAAAACCATATTTAAAAACTAGAAGGTTTAGCACCACTGTAAGCTGCACAAAAACATGTGTAAAGTCAAAAGATCAGATTCCTTCTTTTCTGAGATCAGCTGTACTGAGAAGTTTTCAGGGTATGTGGAGGGAAAATTATTTAGTGGGGGTGGGCACTGAGAGGCAGGAATCCTTCCATCTCCTTCCAAACAGATGAGGATGAGGAAGATCAGGAAATGAGACCCTTAAAAGTAGGAAAATAAAGTTCTTTCCTTCTCCTCTTCCTTTTACTGAATGAGCCCACCCTCTTCCAGGATGTATAACGCCTAATAGTGTGAGCTCAGTCACATTATGCAGTAAATAGGCTTTGGTGGGCTAGCCTGGCTCCCAATCATCATTTGTACCAGTGTTTCTAAGGGCACGCCCATTCTGAGTTTTAAACAAATGGCTTACAGATGAACTTTTGGAACCCATCCTGATTGTAAGCAGAAGACTGTTTATGCCGTGTACACATGCATTAGCTTTTGTCTATGCTATGGACAAAAGCTTGTCTACGTAAATAGCACCCACTGTGAAAAGGCATGGTTCCTCAAAGACAGGACGGTAGGGAGGTTTAAACAACATCATCATAAAATAAACAATAGGCTTTCATTTCACTCCAAGTGTTCTAATCATACCTGAAAGTAAGGGTGGTATTTCTAGAGAAACAAAATTCTTGTATTCCTTGGCCCTGTGATATGTTTTCCTAACCAGGAGCACTAAAGTATTTTTCACTTAAATAGTCTCAAAATCTGAATGATATATCATTCCCTGGACTACATTAACACTGAAGTGAGATGCCGCTCACTGCGAACATTAAAACAAAATTCTCTTTCCAAATGCAAAATTTTCTGGAGAGAATATATTATGTTAGTGACAGAATCTCACTGTAACGAGACAGTGCAAACGTCTGACCCCCATTCAGCTGTGGATCTGTCTGGAATATCAGGAAGCAATTTCCCCACAGACAAATAACAGGGCAATCCTAACTCAAGTGCATTACAGCTGAACTTGGCCTGTAAGTAGAAAGATTGGTGTTATTTAAAGGCAAGATTTGTGGGCTATTACAGGTGGTTTAAGAGCCTTATGATTGAAAGACAGTCTTAAGAAGAATGGCTCAGCCATTCTAGCCATGAAACACCTTTCCCCAAATTACTTCAGACAATAAAAATGTACTCAGTTCTTTAAGATCACTGGAGAAAACAGAAGAATTAACTAACGTAATACAGGAATTACTGGTGGGCCTAAGAATATAATATTAAAGGGTGTGTGAAAAAAATTTTAAACCAATGAAATCACAGGATACAGAGATAGGGCTAACACATATTAAAAAGCCACAGTTTAAGAAATGATAGCTTCAGATCATAATATAGAAACATTTAGAAAAATAAAAAAAATTAAATGATACTCAACTAGATAAGATTTAAAATATCTTCTTAAAAACAGGAGTTTCAGAATGCTGAATATATTTAAACAATAAAAGTATCATTTATTTGGTTCTTATTTATAATTTTAAATATATTTAAACTTTATTCTTAGAAAATCTCATCTTTACATCAAATTTTTATGACTGAACCACAAGTCCCTTCACCTTGCTTTATTCTCAGAAGAAATATTAATAGAGTATAAAAGATTTATTTATAATAACCAGTCTTATTATTGAATAATTATCCCTTAGACTTCCCAGGATAGATATACATAGTGTTTTACACAGAATCAAAAGATATTTTTTTGCGTGTGTATTATCTGAAATAGTTCCATGGCCAGATTATGCTGATCATTGTATATGGCCGGCCCTACTGACCTCTCATAAATGAGTAGATAGCAAGTAAAGCACCATAAATCATATAATCATTTTTGGTTTTCCTTTATTCCAAATTAAAATATCAAATAAACTGGTTAAAATTTACGGTTACATTTTAAATGACCCATCCTCCAAAGTGCCTTAGTTTTAAGATGAATATTACCTTTCATATCTTCATATGATAACAAATTTGAGTGGGATTAGGGGCATAATGGAATAGAAAGCCACCCCAAAATTGAAACAAAATCTAAAGCAGCCTCTGGAGACCCTAGGGAAGACTAAGGGTTCTCAAGTTTCCACACTTCTGAGGGCTCTCTGCAATACATTTTCACACCTCACCTCTCACTCTGTTAAATTTCTCTTCTTCTATGAGAAAAGAAGTGTGCACACACACATACACACATGCAGAGTTTGATAAAGCAAATGGGGTAATGTTAACATTTAGAGAATCTGCTTAAAAGGTATATGAGAATTAATTCTTTCTACTATCTTTGTAACTTTTTTGTAAGTCTGGAATTATTTCAAAATTAAAACTAAAATTTAAAAAAGTTTTATAAAAGTGAAGCATGCAAAGGAATTAGAGAGAAAATTTAAAATATAGGAGCATGACAGAAACTGCATATCATCCTTCAATCTCTGTTTCTACCTCCTTCTACAGCAAAGCTATATTTTAACTGGACAAATGGCTGCCCAGAATTTCCCAGCTTCCCATAAAACCGGGTGTGGCTACAGATCACGCTTCTGTCCCCCAAAATCTGATTGTAGCCATTTGGGGGCTGTGTTTGCCTTTCCCCTTATTGCTACTGTGTTGCAGGCTCAGAGGGAGCCATCCTGGGCCATAGAACCGCAGTAACACCCTGGCTGGTGGAGCAACAGGAGTGCGGAGCAGAGCTGTCATACCCCTTTTGGACTTTCAAATGAGAGAGAGAAAATTCCATGTTGTTTATGCCACCCTGTCACAATGTGCCAAATATATTCTGCTCAGCTAATAAAGGGAGTCTGAAAGCTAATGCTTCAGAGAAGCACTGATAACAAACAGAAGATGCTTTGGTCTTCCTTAATCTGTTAATGCTTCCGTTTAATCCCATCTCACACTCCAGGGTGTTAATACAGGCGTTTCCCACCTCCCTCCCCACCAAAAAGCCCAGGAGTCAATTTTGCTATTTGTCTGGCAGAAGTGTTTTCTAAAGAAACAGGCAGAAATGCCAGTTCTTACATCCGTGAAGAACAGGAGCAAACAAAGCAACGAAAGGTACTGGACAAATGACGTAGGTCCAGTTTGGAGATGGTGCAGTGAGCTCAGGAACTGACTTTCCCAGCTGACACTATGTGCCTGTGATGCTGTTTGGCAAACAGGCAATTAAGAAATGAGAGAAAATTCCCCAAACCAAAAATGTAGTCATGAACTTCTGCAAGCCTTTGGGTTTTCTTTTTCTGATTTGTACAATGAGAGCAGTTGGCTTGGTGATTCTCAAATACTCTTTTTTTTTTTTGTAAAGATGTGAAAACTTTTCAAAAGCCTCAGGTATAAAAGAGAATAAAGGTGACCTGGCTGAAGAAGCAATGGTCATAATGGGAACATCCCCTGTGTGCTGGGCACTGCTGAGATGCCCATGTGTGTCATCTCGTCTAAGCCTCAAAGGCCATCTAAAATGACCTAATTGTTGATGCTGTATGGTAATTATACACAAGGCCCTATTTTCTGACAGCACTTTGCTCTTATGATTGTTTATAAAGCATCTATAAAAATTATCTGGTCAGACTTCTAAGCATTTCATGTGGAAGGATAGTTGTTTAAAAACAGATGCTAAAAACCTTTGCTCTACAACTTAAATCTAGTTAAAAAGTAGGGCATGTACCAATTTGACAATCTATAGACTGTGTGGATAAAAAGAAGAAAAAAAAAAAGGTCAGTGTAATATATTTTAAAAGCAGGCTTTTCCAGAAACTCTATGGGGCAGTACGGTGTATGGTAACAGATTTTTGTACCAGTTCTCAGCGGGTGTTGGGATTGAAGATGACTATATCTCAGTAATAATATGGCAATACTTAAAGCAGGCTTAATGAAAGGACAACTCCTATAAGAGCTGAGCCATTAATTCATCCCTTAGCTATCATAAAATGTTTTGGACTAATGATAATCACTAAGGCACAGTGACTAATGTCCTTGTCCTTCCCTTAGACTCTGATATGCTCTCTTGAGAGGGAGAGATGGGGGTAGTGATTAGCCAACAGGAAGGACATAGGCATGACATTTATCTTGTTTGTCGTGACAGAAAAAAGTTTGAGAAGTGTTATTCTAGATAACACAACAGACATTTCCATGTACATTTTTTGCACACAGCTTTTTCCTTCTTTTGTCCCAACGTTCTCCTTGCATGCTTTCAAGAAATCATGAGAAGTTAGTGTCTCATTCAGACCAAAGCGAGACAATAAGCCAAGAACCAACGTGCTGAACTTGCTGCTAAACATGTTAGGTGAGAGGGAAGTGATGGGCAACTTTAAGACATTTTCCACTCATGGAATCTCTGGACAACGTGCTGGGGCCACAAAGTGCTGTGGATTCCACCGGTTTCAATTGGGGTTGACCAAAGTAGACTCCAGAAGTTCCCACTGACCAGAGAGGCATCCAGGATGGGTCTGCAGTCTCCCCTGCCGTGTTGCTTCTTGGAGGGCAATGTCACCTCATTTGGCAGGAAGTACACACTGCACTGGGGTGTCCAGATCTCACTGTCCAACCAGGCTTTTAAAAACTGAGTTAGAGCTCGGGTAGTAAATATAAACTCTACCTACATGGTGTTACATGGCCACAAAATACTATGCTTCTTAAGAGCTTTTAGTGCAGAAAATAATACTGGTGAAATATATATACATTTTTTTAAAAAGGCAGGATGTAGAGTTTATTATATAATGTCATCTCAGCTATGTAAAAATGTGCCAGGAAAAGTCTGGAAGGAAATATAGCAAAATACTACAATTTGTTTCTTCTTTGTAGGAACAGAAGCACTGGTTATCTTCTTTATAATTGTCTGTATTTCTTCAATTTTCTACAATGAGCACATAACAGAGAAACATATTTTCCTTATAATCAAAAGACAGGAAGAGAAGATGCTTGGTTATGATAGAAATAACTAGACTCCTGTCTAAAACCTATTTCTAAATATCAAATGCAGTAAAACAAAACTGTATCATAGCTCTAATTTATTCACTTTAATTCTTTTAGACTATGATTTTCTTAGAGGACGCCCTGTCTACTTAAGAGGACATGCATCCCATCAAGAGTACTTCGGCCAAATACACTGCTCGAAGTGTATGTGGTAGGACTTTAAAAGTGTCAACGAACGACAAACTTTAAAAACAAAACAACTGAGCTTGGAATTAGGGATGACTTTAATTAGTACAACATAAATTAGTATTTCCCTCAAGGCAGTCACTTAACGAAACCATTCATTCTGTGGGTATTGCCAATTCTCAAAATATTTTTGGAGCTCTTTGTGGCGCTCCTCAGGAAAATCATTCTGTTACTTCAATCGCTCCCTATTTTTGACCAGAAATGGTTTTACCAGTGACACCTCATTTGCCTGACTTGACTTCAAGTGGTTCTTGGCCTATCCTTAAAAAAATAAATAAAGATTCTCAACCATTGAAGATATTTAAATTTTTTAAAAAAGTGCTACAGACTTTATGAAAACAATTTTGAAATACAAGGTTTCCAACCATGTTTTGAGTAATAATTCTCACAATATCTGACTGACCTATGTCCCACTCCACCCCACAGATAATTATTCTTAAGGGGCCATGGTTTTAGGGGTAAGAAAAAGGAATCCATTATGGATTAATGAAAAGCCTAGATAAAGACTATAGAGTTAGACCATTTCCAATTCTAGTAAACACTAGCAAAAGTCAAAGATTTTCAAGTACAATAGAGAAACAAGAAGCCCCCAGTAGTTGCTCTGATGCTTTAGCGTGGCCAGCAGGGGCAGAATCCCAGACTGGAGACCCCAGAGGCTCTTTCCACGTAGAATAATGTTCATAAAAGACAAGGCTCCACTACCTTTTCTCTCTGGTTGCTTTGTTCATCATTTGTCAACATTGGCTTCACAATGTAATCATTTAAGGGCTTTAAAAATAATACCAGTTGTCTGGCAATCTTCATACATTGGAATCTGAATCTCAGAGGGTAGAGCCTGGGTATATATGTGAGAGATGTGTGTGTACTGTTTATTCCTTCTTTCCCCTCTTCCCTTCCTGCCTTTCAAGTTCCCAGGTGATTCGGATGCAGTGAGACACAGTAAGGGTGAGAACCAAGGGCAGCTGGTCCAAATGAGGACCATGGCTTATCTCAGCTAGCTCACGAAATGAGCTTCTAAACGACTCACTTTATTCGTCACCTCATGCCATGATTAACAAAAACAAAAAGTAGGAAATGTCGCTTGGTCCAATCATATAATTTTAGAAAAAATAATATTTTTAAATGAGGGATAAGATATATAGTCTCTAGTTGACTAACCACGTATAAGATGAAAACACTTGCTTGTAAAGGCACAAATGATGAAATTGCATTAGAGCCTAGTCATTGGAGGTTTCATTTTTTTCTAATGTGCTTCTTTTCCACAATGAATCATCTTTGTGATACCTACTCTTGTTTGGCCTATTGACTTAAGAGATAAAGACCACATACCAGCAGCATCTTGGGCTGTCACATCCACGCCATGTGTAACCATGACCCTGAGACATTCCACGTGTCCTTTTGTAGCAGCAAGATGAAAACTGGAAAAGAAGTAAACACAACATCCTTAAGATTTCCACTCCTTAAAGTTCATCACCGACATTTTTTGCCTCCTCAGGTACACTCACTTTCTCTCACTTGAGCTCCATAAGCACCCAGTTAGTAGGTAGCATGATCGACCTCATAATAACAATGAGGAAACAGGCTCAAAGTGGTCTGATAATTTGCTCATTGCCACTTTTATTAAGTAATGGAGCAGGAGCTTGGCCTCAGGTCTTCCGACCCAAAGGCCAGGCTTGGAAAAAAGTAAGATTCAATTACATCTTTGTCTCTTCACAAAACAATGCTCAAAGAGTACCGACTAGATTCAATTCCTAAACAATAAGTACTTATCGACTTTTTTTGTTGCCTAGTGCTGTCACTAAAGCCAATATTTTTAAGAAAGACGCTATAAAGAGAAACTTATCTAAGTCAAATAATGGTCAAGCTTCCTGAACATTATCAATGTCAAATTCATTGTTGTGTTGTAGCTGAATAACGATCATCATACACAACTTTTGTAGTGTGTGCCAAGCATCTTACTACCCACTTTAATGCATTATCTCTTTTCATTCACATCACAGCTTTTCGAGGTAAAATGCTATTACTATATTCATAGGTGGTACATGTATTCACACAGGTACAGACAACATTAACAAAAGCCACAATTAGGCTCCAGAACTCAGTGACACTTGGGGGGTACAAACCATGCTCAGCATGTTTAGACTTGCCATTAAAAGAACAGATAACATCCAAACGCTACACCAATCATCCCTGCAGGTCTCAAGGGTGCAGGGCACAGTTCCACTGGGCATTTCCCAGAGGCTGAGAAAGCTAAAACCCTTAGAAAGGTTTCTATGCCTTCCAGTCTCCTCCTGCCTCAGTTCTGTTTTAGGGAGCTGCCGTCTCAGGATACTTGCCAAGCAGCACTTGAATGTCTGTGCCTCTGAATTAAGGCCCAAGCAATATTTTTTCATAGGGTAGAATTGTCACTGGGGCCCAGGGTCACACCTAACTAGCAAATCCAAGAGGTAAACCGATTCAAATCCAAGTCAGCTTGGTCCTACACCTCTGCTCTGGAGAACTAGGCTGAGTAAAGGGGCACAGATCAAATAGAGATACTTCAGTTCCGGTTGCAATCAACCATAAGTTAACTATGTACTTTTGGGACGTCAGTTTAACCTGAGCCTAAATCTCCTGCACTGTAAAGTGTGGGGCTTGAATCAGGTGATACTGATGCTTCCTGTGGCTCTAACAGTCTATCATTTTAGCCTACCTGGCTGATGACACCAACTATTTCTGCATCTGTGCAGCCATTTATGTGTAATGTTTCTTTACAAAGTCCAGATCATTTCACATTGCAGTGAAACTTTGATCATATGGAATGACTTGGGAATGTGGTGACCTATTTAAATGGAATTCCTGATTAAACACAGCTTAACCAAAGAACCTCCCTAAAGGGCAATACAATTATACCTCTGTTTTTCATCATTGTTGGAGTAATGCAATTTTACAATAAGCAAAGTTCACCTTTCAGCAGTGAATTGTTTAACTAGTTGATCTTAGTGGAAGGTTTCTAAAATGTCCCCAACCTTAGTAACAGTATATGTTACATCATTTAATTGCTCATGAGGGCATGAAGTCACTGCTCAGAACCTCGATTGCTGAACTAGGATATTAATCTAAATGTCCCAGATTATTAAACCCTATTTTTAATAAAATTTTCTTCTTTTTTTAATGTCTACATGTTTGCTTCTCAACTGTTCATTCTGCTATCTCTTATGACCAAGAGAGAAACCAAAACTATCTGGACAAGAGGGCCACCGTATCCTACGCTATAAGTAAGAATACCAGGATTAGTGATTAGCGTATGCCCATACACACACATGTGTGCACACATATTTAATTGACATATAACACATGCAAAGAAAAATACACATATCATAATTATATAGCCTGCTAAATTTTCACAAATGGAACATGCCCATTTTACCTTCATACTAATAAAAAAACAGTGTAGCCAGGGATCAAAATGCCCTCTTGGTATCTACTACTAGCGCCCAGAACCTCTTCATGTGGCCCTTCTAGTTACCAACCACCCTCTCCATGTGATATTTATATTTTTTCCTATGCAAAGACTTCTCAGATTACTGCTGGACTGTACTCTATATAGGGTGGAGAAACCGCAGACACAGGTGACAACAAAGTGTTATTGTATGCCGTTTCTGTACATAAATGTAGTCTAATGAATGTGATGTGGTATTTTATGGGTGATCTGCGAGCCATAGGGTTTCAAGATTATTATTTGGAAGGTCAATGGTGATTACAAGGAAGAAGGTGGACTCTATATCCAATCTTACCATAGAAACTTTCTTAGACATTGCTTTTTAAAATGAAATCCTTGTTATCAACCTAAATCAACCTCTCTTTGACAGCTGTAACGCATTTTATTGAGGGATCCAGTTAATTAAGATTTCATGGCATATGCTTTAATAAATTGTGTGTGTGTGAGAGATTTTGTTTTGTCTTGCCTCTCTCATTAAAATTTGGGTCAGGAAATGACTTTTCCGTCTATTCTGGGAACTCTCCAACTATTCTCCTATAGAATATTGTGTCCTGATGAGAAAATAGAATAATATTAGTCTTTTCCAAATTAATAATTTTTCTCCTTATATAGTTTAACCTAAAATTTCAGCAGTCACTGCTCTTATAGATAAACAAAGTACCAATAAATATAATTAGAAACAGGTTATGTAAGGACAGATAATTATGCTTGCAATTTTACATTGCTTACTTTAATACCATACTTTTAGCTAGTAAAATCATTCTTAGTTGATGGCTGATGTGATGCAATTAAATACATCATTATTTCAAGGTGTTTATCAAATAAGACTCTAAGTTCCAGGTGTTCGCTGTGTTCTCTTGTCACATAAAAGCTGCTGCTCTACTTTCTAAAACACACAGGCATGGGAACAAGCATGAAAAGCAGGAAAGGGAAGAGATAGTCATTTTAGCCAGAAGTTTCTGATTCATTTTTCCAGATAAACAAAGGAACTCCAATATGCATCATCATTCCTTCTCCCTGAGCGTGCATTTCTGGAAAATGGGAGGAAAACTAATAAACACGATATTCAGGTTTGCTCTTGGGGTATATTCACCAACGCTGTGCATTCTCTGTTTTGCCCTCCAGATCTGCTCTCTTTTATCTCCTGGGTCTGCGGCCCAGGAGGCAGACCTCTAATGAACTCCACCTGATCAGCTGCCTTGTTCTTCAATGGGAGACCATTACAAGACACAAGAAGATAAAAGATTTCAGGCCATTATCCCCTTGACTATTTCCCTGGCAGGCCACAAGTTGGCCGTGTGAGTCTTCTATGAAGCCCATGCTCTGTGGGCTAGCTCTCCCAAAGCTACAGCTGCAGCTCTCCCTGGTTTTGGTAACTGCCCTCTCCCCTGGCACCTTCAGGCGGGAATAGATTCCCACTGTTACTACCCAGAGCTGCTTTCCCAACCTTGCTGATTGAATCTGGACAAGGGTTTGTAAATAGTTCCTTTCTTAAACTCCTATCAATTATCCTATTTGAAGGTGCTACCTATTTCCTGATGGGACCTTGAATGACACCAGCTTTGGGTGTTTTGTGTGTGACTACATAGAATAAACTTTTAGGTTCCTGTGGATACTATTTGATTAACTATATATAAGTGCAAATTAAGGCTTTAAAAAAAATGTCTTAACCCCACCTATAACTGAATTGATTATTTAAGATGTTTGGATATTTTGGCGAAAATGTGTTGATGGGAGAATGTGCCATATCACTTTAATTATATGGAATATGATAAGTGACTTCAAAAACATTTTCTGATAAAATGTTAGGCCAGAGTAGAAACTAGGTTAAAACGTTCAAAAAGACACCTCTTCAGGTGGAGAGGATGAGAAAAACAACAGACTTAAATGAGAGCCAGCACTTAGTCCAGAATGTCTCACTGTGCAAAAAATACCAATATTCAGATTTTAAAATGTGGATTTGGTCTTGAAAGAATAATCGACACTCCGTCCACAACACAAATGCGCACACACAGTTGTGTATGCTACAGCTGTGTTCTAAAACGAGGAAAGTCTTTGGGCATTTTCCATGGATTTAACAAGGGTTCTTTAAGAATGAATTGAAAGATGGTTTAGCAAAATCTTCCATATCGTATAATACATTGTATTCTCTCTCTCTATATATATATGTGTATGTGTGTGTGTATGTGTATGTCTACACATATACACACACATACACATATATATTATTGTATATACTATATACTACCCTGTATAATATATACTACACATACTACTCTATACTATATGCTATAAAAAATCTGCAGGCTAGGTTTAGAAACAGAAAATATAAAATAAAATAAGTACAACTATCAAGACAATAGTAATTTTGGTATCTACTGATCACTCTGATTAACTCCTTAAAATATCCTATCTTTCATCTAATAATATATCATTGCCACTGAATTTTAGTCAGAAAATCACTGTACTGCCTAACTTGGGACATAGTATCTACAACCTGAATGAGTTTGCTAAATAAACTGCAATAAAAGAAAACCAAAATGGTCAGTGTAGTGATTTAGCTTTGTCTTATTTTTATGAAAGGTAGGCAAATGCAGAAGAAATATGCACAAATCAGACAATACAGTGACTGTCGGCAACTTCCTAACAACCCATCCCCTTTACATTAGGGTAACACTTATACGTTCAATCTAGCATCTTACACTTGAACGGAAACCAACTACCAACAAAAAGAGCTGTGTCGCCTTGTTAATCCTTCTGAGAGAGAAGCCTGCTGCAAGATAGAGCCCTGTCTTCTTTCTCTCTCACTGCCCATCTCTGTGCCTAAAAGAAGCTCATAATCAGGAGTGAAGAAAATGCCATTTTACAGAAGGGCAAGGTGGGGAAATTACACTGTTGGAGTTTTGTGTGTATGTGTGTGTGTGTGTGCATGTGTGT